ACTAAACTCATTATAAAATAAAATTGGTTATTTGCTTACTTCACTCGTATTTATTATGTTACATTCACTTGGGACACATGGAACACTAGCGCCACCCCGACTTCTGCCATTTCTTGGACAAATTTTGTCAATTTTCCTGTATGAGTCCGTGCTCCTTGTCTAGCCTCCCTGTTACGGACAATAAGTTCTCTTGATTAACATACACAAGTTTTTATCATAGAAATATATTTATATTTTTTTATATAAATATACTCTGTTCGCTCATTTACGCTCTATGTACTCCCACTAATGAAATGCAAACGCCGCAAGTTGACCATAGATTACAGAGAGTTAAGTTGACGTTCGATCGCTTTCCAGTAAAGTCCTCGAATCTCCATACTTTTGGCGGAGCGCTCTTGAATTGTCCGCCAAAATGTCCACCAAAAAGCGCCCGTCGTCGATGTCGGATCTCGTTCCCCTCTGGCCTCTCCGGATAGTTGATGTCGACATCGGGGATTTTGGAGTTTTCTCCCATTATGAAAAAAACTCTACCCTCGGTCTCGGCTTAGGCTACCTATCATCGCATCCAACTGCCAGAGCGGTGGGACCCTCGGAAGACGGTCCTCTCAGCCCAAAGACGGGAAAATTGGAAAGTGTGGTGAAATTTCTTCCGTCTTCGTAAAAGGGCTTATGGAGTCTTTGGTACTGGATGGATCTCGTTCAGAAGTGGAATGATAATACACGGCATAGAACCGTGATTGGAGGGTTCGGCCGAGATCGCGGACACTTCCGGCGGCAGCTAGGAAAACGTGAAATCCTATTATGAATTAGCTGGCCGTTAGTGGTCGCACAATTGGGCTCGAATTTGGAAGTGATAACCACATAGGAATGCTCTATTGTAGTTTCGGGGTTCGACCGAGATCGAATGAGCGGAACGGCTGAAAACGCGGAAAACGTGAAATCCGCGTTTCCCCGTATAACGGCGTTATTGCTCATCCGATTCGGGCGAAATTTTAGGGGAATAATACCAGCAACTTGAGGAGTGCTGCATTAAATTTTGAGACCGATCGCTCAATAAGTTCTTGAGTTATTAGCGATAGCGTCCTTAGACCAATTGGAAATATAAGTGAAAAAATTTATGTCCGTTTCCAAATATCGTCCTGAAGCGTGCCGGGGTTCGTCTGCAGTTTGCGATGGTCGCTGCAGTAAGTACTGAGCGCAGGGATGGCAGACCCAGGCGAGATCGGCCGCGATGTGGGTGACATTGGAAATATCGGTGAAATTAGTCTTTAGACTTCGGCGGCGCTATCGCCAGAGAGATCGGTGTTATTTTATGGGGCGATGTCCGCACTGGGAAGCAAAGTCGCGGAAATCGGTCTCGGACGGCATCGAGTCCGATGGTGGAAAATGTACCGCGGTGGAATTACCCGTCGCTTGGCACGGCAACGGCGGCGGCGGCGGCGGCGACGGCGGCGGGATCTCCAACCGTGGTGGCTTTTCTGATTGGATTGGATATGTAGGTGAATTTGACCGCCTCCTCTCCAATCTGATGGCCGCAGGCATGCTCGTGGATACGGAACGATGTCTGGGTGTATACAGAGGGTTCGAAAATCCTGAAGATCGCTCGAAGATTGGAATACGACAATGCAGTCACACAATAAACACGAAACGTAAATGAAACGTTGCAAATGAGCTGTTTTACTAAACATTTGACACATTAACTAGAAACGTTTCTGTTTCATTACAGAAATGTAGCACTTGAAAACTTATTTAGTGAAACATAGCCGAAACGTTACAATTGAAGAGAATCTGAAACATTACTCGAAACATTCCCTTTCGATCTCGGAAACATAACAGACGAACAACCCTTTGCTTTTTTTTGCTTATCTTATGGAACATTCGGCATTAGTTACATTTTGCTCTCAATCCCCAATCCCTCTCAAGCGTTAGTTCATTTGCCTTTGTTATACAAACAGACATAAACAGAAAAAAAAATCGTGGTAGCTAACACAAGTCTAGAAAAAATTTATGTTCGCGACTTGTGCAAACTGTGCGTAACAGCCCGAGTTTATTTATTTCCCGTGTCTCGTATTATGTTAGGTTAGGTTTGTGGCATTTTGTGGTTTGCCAGTTTGCCTGGATTCGTTGTTTTCCATCTTTACTTTGACGCTATTTTATGTGATAATTTGTACTGTGTGCAGTTGTGGTTATTGTAAGGTGCATGTAAAATATGAATATTGATGCAAAATGTTTAAAACAATATGTGTAGATTTCCAATTTTGCGTCACATCTACCTAAACATAGTTATACCCACTACCTATTATAGACAAGAGGACAATAACTAAGAAAATGGAACATGGAACTATACGTTCCGAGTTTCGATATAATTTGAAGAGTAACTACTTAGTCAGTGAGAACTATTTGAAATATGGATGAATCAAGTGAAATAGACGTCATTTATTTTATATTTTGTACAAATGTTTATATTTGTTTATGTGTATAGGCATGCTTAAATAAAAGAGTTTAGGTATATACTTACCTACAGATATTTATTTTTGTCAAGATATCATTTTGTATCCTTATTTCTGCTGTATACTCGTAGTTATATTATATTAAAAGGATAGATCTAATATTGACCATGCGTAGAAGAAATTGTAACTTTAAATATTATTTTTCAGTAGGTAATGTTATTTGTTTTTCATGTACCATTTCAAGATTCATAATCATAACTAACTTTTTCTAATTATCAGTTCGTCATTGTTACCATAACATTCACGATGGTCTCGACATTAGAAAATTCCCATTTCAGAAGCGTATTTGAACAATATAAAATGATGTGTAATTTTTTAAAATGCTTCTGATATTGTTTTAACATTTTTATTAGTACGATGAATGGCAAAATTCGTAATTCATATTAGAAACTTTTTTCAGTGGCTTCTCAAAAAGAAAGAAATTCTTGGTAAAGGTTGCCGTATCCCCAAACTAGAAGAGCATATTTATTTTTTTTAATATACTTACCTACAATGTAACAACTTTTTTTAGTTACATTTTTTGAGAAATCAGAAAAAGTTGTCTGGAGTTTGAATTAAGCCTTTCGCAATACAAATAAAAATATCACAAAAGAGTATTTAGAAATATTTAAAAAATTACTCACTATTTATACCGTTTCAAAAATACTTGAAATGGAAATTATCTAATGTTGAGAGCATTATCAGAATATGGTAATAAAATTATTATGTTACTCAAACATTTCTGAAAATATACTGAAACGTAAAACAAAAATCTGTTACTGAGACCAATTTTTTGAAATGTTTCATTGGAAACGTATTTTGGAGAGGACATCTTGAGTTTCTAAAACGTTACCAGAACGTTGCATGGATTTTTTATGAAACGTTTCGAGAAAAATGGAATGTTTCTGAAACATGTCAGAAACTGAAAAATGTTTAGTGGGGTATTTATATTTATTTAAGTACCCTTAATATCAATGATTGCTCCTAAAGAAGAACATAATTATGTTAACAGTACTAATTTAACTTCCAAGGTGGGTGAAATTGGAAGGGGTCGGAACTGGATACACAACAGTAACTAATGTAAACAATTTTAAATAAAATGCAGGTAATCATCAAAAGCCCAGAAAAAGTAATGCCATAAAATTCTATGATTTTAACTGAGAAATAATTTTAATGTAGGACCAGAAATTTAAAATGTTTACACCAATAATTTTTTGGACTTTTGATGGCGACATGGTTTTAAAATAGGACAAAAAATTCCTATACATTGTTTTTGTGAATCAAAAAGTTAGAGATTTATTGAACTTTAGAATATACCTTAAATGTAAAAAAAACACGAAATTTACCATGTTTTTTTAAATTTAGATACTTATCTTTTTCCCTGAAATACAATTTTAGGAATAAAACACCTCCAGCTTCTAAAAAAAAAACTCGGCATAGGAATAATATTTGCACAATTTATTCAAATTCCTGATAGATATGACAATTTTTGATATTTAAAAAATTACTGTTCTTACTGTTATTTTTAACTATTTAATTATTTTTAACATTTGTAATAACTGAAAACCACTGTATATATGGTAGGTACCTATAAAAAAATGGGAACATTTTTAAGTTTTAGAACAAGCATGAATTATGATATACCTACTTTCTTGTACATCTACAAAAACGTTTCTCCTCTACCAGACACAATATTATTGGACACACTCCATAGATGAGATAATAAAATTAAATGTCCTTAATGAACAATGGGTCTAAATTTAAAATAAACTTATCTCCTAATAAAATAACTAATATTTTATCCAAAATACAATTTTAAACATAATACAATTAAAAGTACAAAAAACCACAACTCCTAAATAAGTAAAAAATTCTCTGAAAATGACTTTGTTTAACTTTTAGTGCTTACACTGTATTTATACTTAAAAAAATCCCAAACATGTTTTTGTCAAATGACTAGTTAACATTTATTTAGCTATGTAAACAAAGTGAATGATTTTTTTTCTCATAAATAACATTAGGAGTTAAATACACTTATCGAGTTTCTTAAATAACTAGCGTCATAGAAATTCTGTGAATTTTAGTGTTTTAGAGTATCTCTGCCACTGACTAACAGATTTGTATATCAATTCACATTGTAACTTTAAATTAGTTAGACCAATCACTCAGGTTTAATCAAACCACATCAATCATCTTCAAAGGTTTAGTGTTTTTAAAACTCTAACACCATATTTCAAATACCCTTAGTTCATTAACCCGTTTGGTCTAAAATGATCCAACAATCAAGTTATGTATGACTTAGGAAGTATTTCGCATAAATTTCAAAATTTGAGGGTTTTTTTAACCAGATATAAGTACCTATTCTTGCACAAAGTTGCTTCGTCTTTTTTAATGTTGTGTATAATTTTAATATGTACAAAAACTATTTGAGAATGCTTACAAAAAATATTTAATTTTTTAATTAATTATCTATTACATTAAATTATACAATGGAATAAATAAAAGTTTAAATGCGGTTCTTAATAATCACTATATTTAAAGTAAATAAAAACAACCAATAGATTCAAAAAAACATCTTTAACAGTTTAATTTTTTATAAAAGACGCTCACATTCATTACTTCCCACACTTTGCCACATTGTCAATTTATGATATACAAGAGATTTTAAATATACATTTCTATAGGCATGAAAGCTTTCTCTTACATTATAAAAGAGCTGAACCCATTCAAACTTATTAAAAAAATATGAGGTGTTCATTCAAAAATTTAATACAATATCTTAATATTTTATATAACATTGAGGCAAACTACTTTTTAGAATATGTACAATATTATTTTTATTTTTTACAGACGGCAAATCAAACATTATTAGTTCTCTAACTTTAGTAAGAACATGCAAATGCATAAGACCTTTTTCTGAAATATTCGGACAACTAGATATTTGAAGAAACAGTAATGATTTCTTTAAATAATGCAATTCCTCAAAAGCTCTATCTTCTAAATAATTACATTTGTGAAATACAACTTTTGTTATATAATTACATCCTTTAAAATGAGCAAAACCATTATGCATGATACTCGAGTTAGATGCATCTATTACTTGTAACTGCAACATTGTTCCCTCCTTTGGCAGTTCATTGTAATCACTTAAAATTTCATTTGAATTTACCCATTTAACTGTACCACCATTTCTTAAAATCCATTCTGCACAGATGCGATCAGGGCCAAAGCTATTCCTACGATTCTCGTCCACTACATTAAATTGCAAATTAATCCAGTGGAACAGCGAGCGTTTTGATTGATAAAAACCTAGTAAATGTCTTCTTAAGACATTAAGTGTTGTAGACATGTTGAAGTTACACTTTATGTTACTTCTATTATATATATAGGACGTTATTAATGTTTAAAAAATTTTCTCATGTAAGTGTTTCACCTTTTGTAACCTAAAATATTAAATTGTAATTGTATAATATACACTTAAACATATGTACACAGTTAACTTACACAAGCTTCCAAATAATCGATTTTTCGTTCCAAAATTGTCAATTTTTCATTTAACCCAGCGAGTTTAGAACGACAAGACAAATCTGTAAAAAGTGCATAATCAGTTTTTGAATCAACAGTTGACTACATCACATACCAAAGGAATTAAGGAAGTCTGTTATTTTCTTAATACTAATTGTTATTATTTCTATATATTCTCGATTCAGCCAGTCTTGTTGAATCTGTTTCTGGACACCTTCACCTCTGCTTGGAGCAGCCATCTTTGTTTAATTCCTTTCCTTTTCCTATTAATTCATAGAACATAATTAAGAAAAGAAACAGAACCTATGCAAAACCATAGAAATAAGGTGATAGTGGTGCTAACTACACAATAACAATGGAACTTTATGTATTTATTTTTACATAATAGTGTAATTCGTAGTGTCTGCTTGACGTACTCAATCGGAGCACTTTATCAGCGCCAGCGTTCGTTGAAGCCGAGCACAAAATCTATGTTGTTCGTTATGCAGGAGTACTTCACTCTGATCAATAAGATCATTGCTCTCTGGTTACTCTGTCATTTGTGCTGGAGCAAAAGGAGTAGAACTAGAGCAATCAGCTGATTTTATTGGTTGATATATCTGACATCTGACGTATGCCGATATACATGGGAATGCACTGCCTATTACATAAGGCACATGACAAAATAATGTTTATGACATATTCACACATGTTAATACATTTTCCAATCCATTTTCTCTTTCTTCCACTAGTAATTCCTCCATAAATCTAATAAGTTTTCTTTATTCATGGTGGATAACAAATTTGCTTTTTGTATACCTACCTAAACAGAAGAAAAACTGCTAAAATGCCCTAGATAAAGTAAACTTAAAACACACATGAAATCAAAGCATAGGTTATCATAGAAAATTTTTTATGATAGGTTATGTTCAAGTCGTCTTAACGAACACAGGCAAATTATATCAAGATCTGACTGCTCTACTTTGTGATCTAAAAGAATCTGGTGACGTCATTGCTCCGTACTCTTCATGATACAAGATCACTTGAAGTCACTACAGCCCTGTTCGTTAGGTTCTACTCCTTGTGGCTCCAAGAGATCTTGGATCATGAAGAGTACGGAGCTGTGACGTCACCAGACCCTTTAGATCTCAAAGTAGAGCAGTCAGATCTTGGAATAATTTGCCTGTGTTCGTTAAGACGACTTGAACATAATAACCTATCATAAAAAAATTTCTATGAGAACTTATGCTTTGATTTGATGTATACGTGTGTGTTTTAAGTTTGCTTTCTCTAGTGTACCTATTTTAGCAGTTTTTCTTCTGTTTAGGTAAACAAAAAGCAAATTTGTTATCCACCATGAATAAAGAAAACTTATTGGTTTATTGGCGTAATTACTAGTGGAAGAAGGAGAAAATGGATTGGAAAATGTATCAATATGTTTAGACGAAGATTGTGAATCTGTCATAAACATTTTGTCATGTGCCTTAAGTAATAGGCAGTGAATTCCCATGTTTACCGTCATACGTCAGATATATTAACCAATAAAAATAAAATCAGCTGATTGCTCTACTTGCTCTACTCCCTTTGCTCCAGCACAAATGACAGAGTAACCAGAGCAATTGATCAAAGTGAAATACTCCTGCATAACGAACAACATAGATTTTGTGCTCGGCTTCAACGAACGCCAATAAAATACTGCGATTGAGTTGGAGTACGTCAAGCAGACACAACGAACAGAACTTAGGAGTAACATCTAAAGAACAGGGCTAATAATATACTTGTACACAAAATTAGTGTTGTTTATTTCAAAGAATATACTTTTTAGGAAATTATTTACTATAGCGTAAAATTCTTTAAAATGCATAAAAAACACGAATCTGAAATTAATTTTGTACGGTCGAACATAGTTTTCGAGATGAAAATTTGTAAAAACTCTATAACCTTAACACAACAATACTCATCATGACTATTTACAACACTGCAACGTCTATATAACTTTTAATAGACATTTATGCCCGTATATATAGTCGATCGCCAGAGATTCGCCGTTCGCTGGACGAGATTTTCAATGCACAGTCGTTCGCCAACTAACTCAAGCATACGCATTAGTGAAACTTATGGCGAAGCGCCGGAGAATCGCCAGAGATAGCCAGTAGCATCTCCAGCGTTTTTCCAGAAAGCAAGTAACCTATTTTTATTGTGTTTTTGAGATTGTTCCAATAATGGATCGTGATTTTAACATGTTGTATAACCCAAACAGAGATATTTCTGATTTAGATATACTCACACCTACACAGGGTGATTCACAAAAGTTGACCAAAAATGAAACCTAGTATTCTTTGGTGTATTTTAAGGGGTGTCTATCGTATAAAGTTTTTATTTAGGACGCTTTGTTAAAAATATAAAGGGTGTTAAATTTTAAAAAATATTTAAAATTTTTTGAAATAATTTAAAAACTGAAAATTTAGTAACTGAAATAATTTCAAATTGGGCACATATATTTATGTAAACATTGTACAAAATCTGGGGCTTTTTCAGAAAATTTTGATCCTCCAGTGCCGGAGATACAGGGTATCGGTAGCATATTTTTCTAAATTAAATAGTACGCCACTGCTTTACAGTCATCAATAATGATATTTTCGAATTCATCTTTCAATTTTCTAGTAATTACTACTCCTATGTTTTTCGAAAAAAGTCTGTTTTTCGAGTAAAATTTAAAAAATCGAACACACACTTCAAGATTCGAATACAATTCGGTTTAAAATTACATAGTAGGCTGCAATAACAACTTTGAAAATCTGAGCAGTTCGAAAAAAGAATAAATATTGCTTTTCATCATATTCAAGCAAAAATAAGTTTCGAACAAATTACATTTTCGTTAATTAAAAAGATGTCGCGCCTGTGTTCGTGGAAATGGAGTATTATTGAGCATTTACTCAAATAAAATCATTAAAATCATGACTAATGTTATTTCTATATTCGATTAAATAACGAATGATTAATGTTTGCATGTTATTTAAGTAAAAGTGTTTTCAGTTCGTTTTTTAAGTTTTACTCGAAAATCAGGCTTTTTTCAAAAAACATGAGAGTAGTAATTTGTAGAAAATTGAAACACGAATCCGAATATATCATGATTAATTAATTAATAAAGCATCTCCGCCACTGGAGCATCTAAATTTTAGAAAAAGGCCTCAGATTTTGGACAATATAAATACATGTGCCCAATTTCAAATTGTTTTAGTTAACTAGTTTTTACATTATTTAAGTTTTTTTTAAGTTTAGCACTATGTATCTTTTTAACGAAGTGTCCTAGATAAAAACGAAAGACTCTCTTTATACATAATTCACCAAAGAATATTAGGTTTCATTTTTGGTCACCGTCTGTGAATCTTATTGAAATTGTAATCGTTATTGTAAATTGTATTGTATTGTATTATATAAATTGTAAAACAGATTGTACTTTGAAATATTTTAAACAAGAATTTTCAACAAAGAAAAAAAAAATTCTCATATAATGCAGATCCTGTGGATGATAATGTATAGATATACCCTGTACAGTTATATGTTGATGTACCTATTATAATTATTTGTAGATAGTATATGGAGTCTTAAGAATATACAATCAGCCCACTAAACATTTTTCAGTTTCCGACATGTTTCAGAAACGTTTCCATTTTTCTTGAAACGTTTCCTAAAAAATCCATGCAACATTCTGGTAACGTTCTAGAAACCCAAGATGTCCTCCCCAAAATACGTTTCCAATGAAATGTTTGAAAAAATTGGTTTCAGTAACATTCTTTTTATGTTCCATTTATGCACTCGGTATTTTTGTTTTACGTTTCAGTATATTTTCAGAAATGTTTGAGTAACATAATAATTTTATTACCATATTGTTCTCATAATGCTCTCAACTTTAGATAATTTTCACTTCAAAAGCGTTTTTGAAATAGTATAAATAGTGTGAGTAATTTTTAAAATATTTCTAATACTCTTTTGTG